GTTAACAGTTAATTCTTCTTTAAAAAAAATTAGCTCAAAAACAAAAAAAATAAAAAAGTTGGTTAATTTTTTTGATTCGCCTAAATAACAAGAAAGATTAGAAAAAGCTCAAATAAATGTAATGGAAAGAGATAAATTACCTCAGTCTAATTTAATTAGTACTGAATCTTATTTTGAAGAAGAAGAAACTGGCGAAGTTAATGATAGTGTTAGTACAGATTCAGAACGACTTAATATAAATGTCGCTCTAAAAACTCTTCGTCTACTTAAAGATTACCCAACTAGGTGGAGCTCCACTTATAGATCTTGGAAAAGGCTTTTAAAATTAAAGGATGCAATTATATGGTTAGAAGCTAATTTAAAAATTTCACGAAATTCAGATGATAAAAAAGATGGACAAAATCTTGCTCAATGTTTACCTGATGAAGACGAATGGAGGTTAATTGAAGAATTAGTTAAGGTCTTCAAGCCATTCGACCAGGCTACTGAAGCCTTTAGTGCTGAAAAATATCCTACATTGTCGGTTGTTTATCCTATTATTGAAATGTTAAAATTTAAATTTGCAACAAATTCAAATTTAACTTCAATTAAGGACGATTTTAATGAAGAATATGGTAATTTTTAATATTTTCTATCATAAGTTATTACCAAAATATAATGCTAATATTTATCTTTTTATAATTAGATAGCGATAATGATAATGAAGACACACAAATACTAGATACTTATGATATCCAATCAATAATTGCTTACACTAAGAAAGCAATTTATAATTCTCTTTGGAAATATTGGGGTGAACCAAAATATACCAGTCTTTTAGCTACTTTACTAGACCCTCGGCTTAAAAAAATGCGTCCTTGGTCTAATCATCTATGAGAAGAAACAATAAGAATATGCCGTGAAGAACTTGATAACATTACTGATGCGACACCTATACAATCTATTTCTTCCACCAGTACTACTTCAACTAATCGTTATTTTGCATCAATATTTGATAATAATGATGATGATAATCTATTAAATAATAAAAGTGAATTAGATAAATATTTAGAAGCATCGCTTGCATCACCATCAAAACGACCTTTAGAATGGTAGAAGGAACGAGAAAAAGATTTTCCAAATCTAAGTAAGTTAGCAAAAAAGTACTTATCTATCCCAGCAACTTCGGTGCCAAGCGAACGCTTATTCTCAGATGCGGGAAATCAAATAACACCAAAACGAACACGTCTCAGTCCAGAAACTGTTTCTCAAATATTGTTTTTAAAAAGTAATAGTAAATTAATTAGTATCACATAAAAAAATTTTTTAATTTGAATAATTTGCAACTATGTAAAATTCTTTTCTGATCCCATTAGCTATATTGTCACGGCTAAAACTTGAAATCAGGAACCTTGATTTAAAACTATAAGCACCACCTATATTCTTTTATTAATTAAAATTTCAAGCTTTGGCCGCAATATATATTATTAACTAATTGATTATAGAATAGGATTACCTATATTATAAGAGTTGTTTTTTGATTTTAAATAAAGACTATTAAAGGCTTTAGTTATAAAATACCATATAATGGATTTTAAAATTAATCTTGCGCATGACATGGTTGAAGTCGGCATCTACTTGAAGTTGAAGTTTTAAGTGTTTAAAATTGCACTAACTAAAATTAGCAACCGAATTAGATCCTTAGTAATTTTGATTTTAAGCGAATTTAATTTTAAGCGCTTGAAATTACAACTCAAGCAAATGTTAATTTAATAATCACATGTATCACAGAATTTTATTGGATGTAATCACGTAAGTTAGCCGGGTTAACCAAGTTAGGTGGGTTAGACAGGTTAGGCGGGTTAACCGGGTTGGTATCCGGGTAAGGGTTAAATAAACAGGCGGGTGACCTGGAGTAGAATTTTATACTGGGCCTAATCTCTAGTTCAAACAAACCCCAGCATCTACTTCACAGCATATCTGAAATACTTTAGTATACTCTTGCTGGTTCACCAAACTCCCAATCCAGATAGTCTGATAGGACTTACAACCAGTCTATTGGTATATCAGGTCGGCCCAATATCCTTTTCCTTCAGCTTGATCTGGCAATTTGGTTGGTAGTACCTTCTATCTAGAGGTTTTTGCCCATCTAGCTACTTCAACCTTGGTATCCGTTTTATAAGGCTAGCCTTTATAGTAGGGCTGTCAAAGTTCTGGCTACCTCTCTACTCGAGTCTTCCCAAATGGACTTCTTGTTATCCAATTTTAATAGATTTACATGACCACAAGGACTTATTTAGTGTTTGCACCACCTATTGTCAGTTTGCATTTCTTTGTGTAACTACAACCTTGTTCCAAAGGACAATGTCATGTGACCTGTTACACAAATGCCCCATGACCTACCAGTCATGCTGATGCGATTGCTATTACAGGTATCCTAACCCAATCATTAGTAACAGTTGCCATAATATAAATATTACATAGGTGATTATCCAAATTTTCGCCGTCGATAGGATTTGAACACCCAACCTACCACTTGGAGGGTTGACAACCTGACCACTTCACTAGGTCACCACACCCTTTCTTCAAATATTTAATATATTTATTTAATTACAAGTTAATATATAAAATTTTATGTAATTATATTTTAATTCAAATATATTAAGTTAGTATATTATGCTTAATAAGATGACCAATATATATAATTGGACATGCCAATTTACATAATCAGCCTTCTAAATTTTTAACAAAAAAGATTGATAATTATAACTATAGATAATAAAGACCAAACTTGTATTAATATTAATAAAATCTTTTAAGTAGTATAGTTAAATGCATTGATTAAAAATAATTGTTTTATTTTTAACAAAATTAATGCTCAATTTTTTTTTTTTTTTTGAGGTTTATATTGCATGATATAGTTTAAATTTTTATTTTTAGCCAAAAGATAAAAACTTTGATCAGACAAAATAAATAAGTAGAAAAGCATTATAAGCTTTAATAGCTTAAATAAGTCAATTAATAAATAATTATTATTATATTTACTAAATCAAAGTAAATATGTAAATGCTATAGCTTTAAATTTATTAATTAATAAATGATAGCAGTTATTAATACAAATCTAATGAAAGGTTAATAAATCTATAAACTTGAATAACTCAACTTAAAAAATTACATATTATTCTTTTTGTAGTAAACTTATTATAGTGAAATTTCAATATAGTAAAAAATTTTTAAATATAAAATTATTAAAATTCAGTTTGATATAGTAAAGTACATATAGTAATCACTTATTATAAGTTATTGTGAAGTTTTTTTCAGCACAAAACTTTATTATAAAAAAAATGATATTTATATTTACCAATTACTAACTTTAGTACTATATTGATCTATGCACTACTTCAATCCTAAAAGTCTAATAGTTTTGTCACTTTTGCAAGTAATAGTTTCTAAAGTGCTATAAGATTAAGTAATTTGAATAAATAAATTAATTAATAAATATTTATTATAACTTACCAATTACTGAACCTAGTATTATATAGATATTTCATTTAATTATTTTAATTTTTTTTTTCTATACATTCAAAAAAAACAAAAATATTAATTGATATGTAAAAGTCTAGATCATTCAAAATATCTTAAAGTTAAGCAGTTATTTGAAAATCATTCTAAGCTCATTGTAACTAACATTTATAACATTTACTTTTGTTTTTTATCTTTTTTCAAAGGTTATTAAAAATAAATCCTGCAGGCCTTATATAGTTTTTGTCTTTGCAAATAAAAGCTTCTACCTTATTGCCAGAAATGTAGATCATAATAATTGAATGATTATTTTAGTCTGTAAATTATAACAATTAAATGTATTACTGTTAATATTTTTTCAAACATGTAGATAGTATCTGCATTTATAAATTAAAGCTAATAAATAAAATAAGCAGTAGAATAATCAAATATCATAAAATTAATTAAAAAATGTACTGTCAAATTAATACAAAATAATATTATTTTTTTAAATTAATAAAGTTGTTACTATACTTACCTACTAAATTAATGAAAGCTTTTATATATATTAGATAAATATGTAAAAAATCCAAAATCTATATTTTAAATACTCAATTAAGAACTATAAAATTTATTTTACCAAAAAAAAAACTTGACCACAAATTATATATACATATTTTTTATTTTTTTTAAAAAAAATAAAATAATCAAGTCACTAAAAAACTTATAAATGTAGCTTTTAACTTAATTTATTAATACACTTTGTATAAAGCACATATTCAAGCATATATATATTATATCATGCATAGTATCTAGTTAAAAAACAAAGTATTATTTAAATAGTCTTCAAATGTTTAAGCCATTGTTTTTTTTTACTTGTATGAAGAAATTTTATTTACTATTTTTTTAATCAGCCTAAAATTTTTTTCTACATTTTTCACTTATCTAAAGTTTTTTTTTATTCTGTTGGTCTTCAAGAATTTCAAGTGTTTTTTTTTTTGTATTTATAAGTTGAGTAAACAATTAATCAAAATTTTGTATATTTTCTTCACCTTTAATATCTTCAAGATTTGTAATATTATAAAAAGTAGATTATGTAATATTACTTGCTTGTATATCCAAAATGCCAAGAAATGGGTATTGGTGATAATGATAAACTTTGTCAAAAAATTTATCTAATACAGTTCCTTTTTGTAATACAAGATGTTTACAAATTAGGAAACAGCTAGTCAAAAAAGATGAATATCCACATACTTAATTTGAAATATTAGTAGGATAGATATTTTGTATTATATGAGTTTCTAGTTTTTTTAATTCTTTTTTAAATGCTTTATGCCAATTTGCTTTTTTAATACTAGATAAAACTTGTTGAAGTTTTCTTTATTGATATAAAATTACTTGTGTCATAATAATAAAGACTACTAAATTCAATTGTGAATGAAAAATTTATACAAGAAATCATGTTTCAATACTTTCTAGTGGGCTTCTACAAACATATTCATTTTAAAAATTAAAATCTTTGTACTATAACCTGCATATAACTATAATATTCAGCATTCTGAATTGTACTATTTGTTCTATAGATATATCCAAAGATATATTTTATTTTTTAATATTAAGATAAGTAATTGCAACCTAGGAGTTTATTGATAATTAGTCAGCATATAACTATTGTGTACAACAGCTACAAAGGCAATCATAAAAAGAGTGTACAACTAGCCACTTGTATAACTTTAGTCATTATCTATTTTAAGTAGTCCAACCGAAGGTTCTATACTAGTTGCCATACCTAAAACCTGCCTGTGGATTCTCTATTTAAACACTCTAGTTCCTATATCTACTCCTACCCTATTATCTGCAGAATTTCTGCAAATATATCATAGTCACTAAGTCATGTTTAACTTTATACTAAGTCTACCAGAGCCTTTTGTATTTCATACTTATAGCTGACCTAGTACTGCTCTGACCTAGACTATTACTTGCAGTCAGAACTAACTATTAAACCATTATACCCTTGTAAAGTTTACAAAGACCTTGATACCTTCCTTTTCTAACTTTCACTACCTACTTCTGGACCTACAATACCTACAAAACTTCATAAACTACCAATTCAGATGGCTCATTCGGTGAACCTGGCAGCCTGGTTGGTATGTGCTCCTCTATACATGTTGTCATACAATCTATTCGAGGTCCTAGTAATTCTTTTTGGGGGCCTTTCTATAGTTTGGTAATACTATTGAAAGTCCATGCTATCTCTTTACTTGGAATTTCTAAGAGGGTTTTTAACTCTTCAGTTCTTTTGCTTTCTGTGCCTGGTAGTCTTATTGTGGGTTTGCACTAAAGTTTTATGCAACATCAGTTATTGACATTCCTCTATATAGATGTAATATTACACTTTGCATAGATGCTCTGAGCTCCTATTCGAGATGATGCAACAAAGGTTACAGATACACTAATCCAACCAATTAACAAAAACAATTATTATAACACAGATCTTATTTTACAAAATTTGTCATCTATGAGATTTGAACTCTAGATCTGCCACTTGGAGGTTGACAACCTGACCACTTCACTAGGTCACTATACCTTTATCCAAAAATATATTAATAAATACTATTGACAAAAATTATAAACTTCTTGTACAGCCATTGATCAAATTTTATGTGATGTTAAATATTGTCTCTTATTTGTAGGTATTAAAGAATGTTGATGTAAATGTCAATTCATTATTTTCTATATAGCTTCATAAAACTGTTTAGAACAAAAGACATAATTTGTTATATTAAGTTGTAGACAAAATTTAGGATCAATAAAATAAAATTGATTATGTGCTATTTGACTATTATAGTTAATTTGTTTTGGTTTAACATTATTTAAAAGTTGAGTTTTAATGACCCTTTTAATATGCCAAAGGCATATTTGAACTTTACTATTTTTCTAAACAAATCTAGCAACTGATATTTGTGAAAAATCCTTGTCTATTAAAAAAAATTCAGAATTAAGATTAAGTAAATACAATACATTAAAAAAATTAGTTAAAACACCTATATGAATTCTATTACTACAATTTTTGTTATTTTCAAAAAATAAATAAGCCAACAGATATTTACTTCTATTAATTTGAGTATGAACAACATATAATTTGAATTTCAGATTATTTGTGTTGTTTATAATAATCATAAATGAGTCAAAAATCAAATTTTATTTTGAGTAAAAGAAAAGAAACTACAATCATATAAATTTTATATAATTGTAGTTTCTTTTCTTTGGCATTACTCTTTTATAACAATAACAATAAGTAATCATACATGTAGCATCAACTCTAATTTTATTGATTTAAATTTCAGAACTTGAATCATATCCTACATTCTACTTAAAAATTCTATTGCTTGTGAAAATTTTTTTTGAATTACTATATAATATGATTTTTCAATTAATCATTTTTTTGCTAAAATAAAAGAGTTGTTATCATGTTTATATCTTTTTTGACCAAGTTTAGTCTACCAAAAGTGAATTTGTTTTTAATGTATATTAATACTTAAGTTTTGCATTACTAGACATTTATATATCTCATATAGAAGTAAATCAATATTTTTTTGGATATATTGTTTTATTTTTAGGAAAATAGAATTATTTAAGCAGAGTAGATAAAAATGATAATAGATTTTAACATTAGTGACAATAAGATCTTGGGATATAGTAATTGTAACTTGCTCTTTATAGGGAAAATGCTTAATTAATTGCCTATCATAATGTTTATTAACATTAATATATTTTTTTTAGCTTTTTAGCCAAACAGTCTCTTTGTGAGTAATAATAAATATAAGTTATTAAATTTAATATTTTTTTATTATATTTTAGATAATATCTAAATAATTAATATAAAATTATTTTAATATTATTTCAATATGAAACTTTATGTTTAAAATTAATTTTTAACTTACATCTATTTATATTCATTGGTATTTTATATTTTTCAATTATATAATTAGCTTTCTCTTTAGGATTACCTTCTAATATGAAAATATTAACAGCATAAGAAAGTTCAAACTCCAAGAATTTTAGATTTTTAAGGTTCTCATCTATCTTTTTACCTTTGTATTAATTAAAAAATTGCATTACATAGTCATAAAAATTATAGAAATCTATGAATATATTATTATCATATGCTTCAGGTTACTTTTTTTTTTTCTCTCTGTTTTGAGTATGACACATATTACAAATATAAAACTTATTGTTATTATTGCAAGAAAGGGGTTTTTTACATCCAGTGCAATATTCTTGTATACTATTGTTATTGGTAATTATAGAAGATACTGAATTCATTTTTACAGTACTTTGTGGCACTTTAGCATATCGATATTCAAGAAAAAAGACAAACATAAAAAAAGCATTGTCTAATATTTATATCAAACAATACTCTGCATAATGACATAAATATGTGCATCAATGTAAGTATGTAACACTATATTATAGTAAATGATTTACTATGTAGATTATGTGAGAGTAAAATTTTTTATAATAATACTAGGTAAGTTCTTGGGGACAAGGTCTGTAATTATATGAAAAAATGCAAACCAATGCCAGATGATGCAAACCTATAATAAGTCCTCATAGCCATATAAATCATAGAAATCAAATAAAGAAAAACAGAAGCCTACTTGGAAGATCTGAATAAAAAGATAATCCAAACTTTCAATGATGCTACTATAAAGACTAGACATATAAAACAGAGCTAAAAATTGCGAAACTAGGCAAATATACTGGTCTTTAAGGAGGAACCAAATAAACCAACTAGGCCACTAAAATTTTCAGATTTTAGGAAAAAAAGATACATGCTAGCAAACATGTAAACCAGAAGTATGGTTATGGCCTACCTTTCTGGGCTATTTGGAATGACAGCTTGATAGAACTTGAATTGAATATCAAAGTAGTAAGAATACATTGTGAAGTAAGTACTGAGATTAGGGTGAACTCTACAAGGGCATAGTATTTAATAGTATGTTCTAATTACTAGTATTGGTCTTAATCATAGAAATATCAGATCAGCTATAAGAATAAGATACAGAAGATTTTAAAAGGTTTAGTACAAAGTCAAAGATTTCAAAGAACTGCTTTAAAAACTTAGTGACTATGGCATATTTTCATCAGCATTGGCCAGTGTTGTTAGTAGACAGAGGTAAGTAGATGGATACAGAAACTAAAGTAGTTAATAGAGAACCTATAAGCAGGTTTCAGATATGGCAACTAGTGTAAAACTTTTAGCCAAACTATTTAAATTAAACAATAACTAAAGTTGTATTAGTAGTTAGTTGTATACTCTTTTTATAATTGCCTCTTGTAGTTGTAATGCAACTATTAGCCAAATATATTATTAATAAAATTCTGGGTCACAAGTACTTACTTTAATATTTAAAAAAAAATAAAATAAAAATAAAAATAATATTTTAATATGTTTAGAATAATTATAACTTGTACTAGTAGTTATAATTAACTATTATAATAAATGGTTAATTATAACTACTAATTTTAAAAAATATAATGATAATTAAAATTAATCATCTAATTTTATTGTCATGTGATGTTGATCACATTTTTCTATGAAGCTATAAGAATTTTCATTTTTGTTATCACTATAACTTTCAATAAACATGAGGTACATATTAGCATTATTGGAATATAGCTATATAAAGTTTTGTATAAGGGTTTAGTACTAATTTATTGCTATTCAAAGCTCTTTTTGCCATTTGGTTCTTCTGAAAATACTGTTTTAAAACCATTACAGATTTGTTGAAGCATTAGATAAAGTTTGTTTAACATGTCAACACTATTGCATAGCTGTGTTTAATCAAATTCTATTTAAGACTTATCAGCCCTTTATGAATGCCAAATCTGGTTCAGTAGGAAGGAAATCATTATTAGCATACCAGCCAGTTGAAAATAATGAACTTGGTTTAGCTGAAAAAACAGTATTATTAGAGGCTCTCAATGAAAATACTACTCTGACTTCTTTAAACCTTAATATAAGTTCATCTCAGGTTAGTTAGCTTTTAGATGAAGATAACCAGTATTGTATAATTAATCTAATTTTATTTAAAGCATGCTATTCCTTTAATGAATATAATGAACTATTTAGTTTTTATAAAAACTATACTAATTTGTTCAAAAGTGTTGAAACAAATAAACTTGGTTCAGAAGAAGCAAAAACATTATCAGAGGCTCTTTATAAAAATATTACTCTAACTTTTTTAGATATTAATTCAAGCATGCCTCAGGTTTATTAAATGATTATATTTAGTTTCAGGAACAAATATGCATTAGTTAATATGATTCTTTAAGATACTAATCATAAGTAACAAAGCAATCTAAATTGGCTTTGTTACTTATGATTAGTATCTTGAAGAATTATATTAGCTTATTTTTTTGATTACCAAAGAACATCTCAATTAAAATTTACAATTTACTACAGATTTCTTATTATTATGACAATGAATTATTCCTATCAAATTTGAGTTTTTATTCTTCAGAATTTTCTCAATCACATTCACAAAATTCTGCTATTGATTTACAAACTGCACTAATTTTTTTTGAACCTACCTTTAACCAATAAGATAATTACCTCCAAATTGAACATTTCACTTCATTTGAGTTATTGGATTCTAGTAGTTAAAGTGATAATAATAATAATATAAATAGTCAGTGTAAATATTCTTTTTATATAAAAATTAATAAATATTTTAATACTTTTGAAGAAATTGGAAGAAAACTTGATCAGTATGCAATAAAGCATGGTTTTGCTATTAGAAAAGGATATACACATACACATAAAGATGGAATAGTATAAAACATTACTTGGGTATATCACTTATTTGAACAATGAAAATCTAAAAAAACAATTGATCCTAATAATTAATATAATTGTGATGCTACTGTTGTAAATTGTAAATGGCATGGTATTTTTTCAATAGGTAGCAAAGCATCAACAATTCACTGTTCATTATTTATTCTATAGATGATAATATTAAAAATAATGTACTAAGATATTATCAATTAAATAATAAAATGCTTAATAAAGTTGAATTGTACTATCAATATTATATTCAACCTAGTAGAAAATTAACTTACTTGAAAATAAATATTCTGATCACTTTATTAAACTATAAAGTATCTATAATGTAATAAGTCAATTAAAAGATACATCTAAAGAACTTAAGAATGATGCTGCTAATTTATTAAATTACCTTTTGTGTTAAAAAAAAAGGACACTAGTTGCATGATTGAACCTATAGTTGATAATATAGATAATGAACTTAAGGGAATTTTTTGGCAATCTGATGAACAAATACAATTGTTATTAAGATTTGGTGATGTTTGTTTATTGGATACAACTTGCAAGACTAACAGATACTGATGATCATTGGCCTTAGTAATTGTAGTTAATAATAATACTAAAAGTAGATTAGTTGCTTAGGCACTATTGCCAGATGAATCTATAGACTCTTTTACTTGGCTTCTTATATGCCTTAAAAAAGAAAATTTAATATATAAACCAGGTGTTATTTTTTCTGATTCTGATCTTGCAATAGTTGCAGCAATTTCTAAAACTTTTGTAACAGCTCATTACCACTTTTGTGTATTTTATCTTGAAAATAATATCAAAAAAAAGGTCTAATTAAACTTGGTAATCATTCTGATCAGTTTTATAAGTAGTTTTTATATTGTGTGAAATGCATTACAAAAACCTTTATTTGAATGCTAATATAAACAATTGATTAAAGCTTATCCAGCTATGAAATATTATTTCTATAAACTTTACCAATTAAAGCAAAGTTGGGTCTGCTGTTTCACAACTCAAATTTTTAATGCTGGCATTCAAAGCATACAAAGTGTAAAGTGTTATAATAACTTTTATTAAGACTAGCATTAATCAAACATCATCTTTAATTAAATTATATAATATAATTCAGAAGTGTCTTGATAAAGAAAATAAATATAGTCATTTTCAGAAAACTATAAGCTTTAATCATAATAGTCAGTTTATAAGTAAAATATTATTTTTAGAAATTATTGCAATGTATGAAAAATATCTTACATCTCATATAATTGCTAAAATAAAGCAACAAATTCAATAAACACTTTGGTACTAATATTATTTATTTGATATTTTACAAAAACATTGCATTAACAATGAATCTGAACTTATTAATAGATGTATTAAAAACAATTATGATGTACAACAAATGCATATTAACTCTATTTTAAGTAATGTATTATATAATAAAATTCAAAAAGCTTGGTATTTTGTTAGAATTATGGGTTTGGAAAATGTGCATTATATTATTTTACTTAAGGATAGTTCATTTTTATGTACATGTATCTGGTCAGTTAGCTATGGAATTGTATGCAGGCATTACTTTACTGTTCTTATAGAATCAGATATAGCCATTATTCATATATTATTAATAATACAGTAATAGTATAAAAATGCTTATTTTAATGAATTAGAAGATATATTCAATAATATTTCAGCAATTTAATTATATAATAATGCTTTTAATAGGACTAATTCACCAAGTCAACTTAATCAAACTATATTAATCAAATGATTTAAACAACTTATTTTTATATATAAAGCTTTAGGATCTAAAAAGCCTAATAAAAAGTTTATTCAAGATTATATATGTTATGATAAAAGCTATAGATTATTACAAACTGTTTTTATATTGGCAAGTAAACAGAAACTGAAAAAGAAGTAAATAAATAGTGTTATCAATTTATACAACAAAAAAAGAAGTTAATAAATACTATAGCTTTAAATTTAAATGATACTGCATTAAATCAAGAACAAGAAAATAATATTTGTAGTATGCTAGCTCAAGAACAAAATAATAATATTCATAACATGCTGGTTCAAGAACAAGAAAATAATATTCAGATTATTAATCTGAAAATCATTTCAATTAAGGGCTAATCAAGTAAAAAGCAAAAGAGTGTATTAGAACAAAAAGCAAAAAAACTATTAAGTGTTATTAATGAAAACTCAAATTAATCACATGTATATACTTGTTTAAATTGCTATATAAAAGGACATAATATTCATTTGTGTACTTTATCAAGGCATGATAGCTAGTATTTAAAGGTTAGAGTTAAAGATTAGATAAGTTATCATTGTATTAATATCTAATAAAATTGTTATAAGTTATATATTAAAGATATATTCTAATTAACTTTTTGTTTTGCACAACTAAATTTAAGCAAAAGTAGTCTAATTAAACAAGTTTTTTGTTAACTTTGACAAAGCTTCTGTTAAAGTTAACAAAAAACTTGTTTAATTAAACTACTTTTTGTTCAAATAATTTGACATATAAATATGTATATAATATTTTATGTTTTCAATTAAATGAAGTATAAAATTATCTAAAAAAGTAGTATTATACTATAATACAGCTTAGATAGATATTCAAAAATTTATAGATAACTCCTTTTAATAATTAGGGTTAGAGTAAGTATTAGTCTTGTTCTTCTTTTTATGTTAGAGTTAGAGCAAGTTATAGAAAAAATAGCTTGAATTTAATAGTTAGAATTAGAGTGAGCATTAGTCTTGTTTTTCTTTTTGTATTAGAGTTAAGGCAGATTATAGAATAAATAGCTTGGGTTCCAAGTAGTTTTTTTTTACAAACTGTATATTACTAGTTAATTATACTTATTAGTTATAATTAACTATATAGTTAATTATAACTACTGGTTATAATTAACTATATAGTTAATTATAGCTACTGGTTATAATTAACTATATGATTATAATTAACCAGTAACACAAGTTAAACTTGTCCTATGTTTATTATATATTTTTAAACTATTTTAAAATTTCAGATCAACTTTTTCATATAGATTATCAAAACAAATAAAATTAACAAAAATTTAAAATAATAATATAAGTTTCTTTTAGTAGTATAGTTTTCTTAAAACTAATATTAAATTTAATATTTGTTAAATTTAATATTACTAAAAATTCAAAAGCCACAAATAGCTGATTACAGTCTAGTTGTTAGCATATAGTTGGTAATTCTAATAAAAAGCAAACAAATTATTTGTTATTCTTGACCTATATAAACTAATTAGTAGGCATCTACTCCAAAGCATAATTGGCCTATTTTTTTTAAAGTATCTAGAAGGCTATAAATTTTGTTTATCTATTTTTTTCTTTTTATTTTAATATAAATTTTATTTTTTTTCATAAACAATAATTATTTAAAAAAACTTTATTTTTGCTCTAAATTTTTTCTGACAAAAAGTAAGACATTACACTATACCAAAAAATTTGTCAAGTGCACATAATCAATCAAAACAGTAAACAACAAAAATAAACAAGTAAACACATTTCATTTTTAAAAATTTGTAACAATTTGCAAAAGAAAACAACAAACATCAAGTCATGTATAAATCTAAATTAGGTAATAGATATTTAAATAACAAAAGATACAGAAATAGATTAAGCAAATAAATTAATCAAATGAAGATAATCAACAAATAAAGCCTAATTTAGTAAGTGCAGAGAACAGATAACAAGCTATATAAATATTTAAATAGTAGTGAACTAAATTATGTTTTTAAAACATTTATAACTAAAAAAACCAAGTAACTTAAAAACTATAACAAAAACTTAGCTTTTAGTTATTTACAAAAAATTACAACTAAAGATCTTTTACTATATAGCCAAATACTTAAAGTCTTAAGATATGCAACAGAAAAAATCAAAACAGTACTAAGAAAAACTATTAGAAATTGGGCTAGTAAAATAAAGATAACAAGCCAAAATTTAGGCTCAGTTAATTACATATTAAGTTTAAACAAAGAGAAAATTAAAAAAAAAAAAAGTATGATAGAAGGGATCAAAAAAAATAATAAAGAAGAAGAATATTATTTTAGTACAATATCTAAGAAAAGATGACAAATAAAGGATACAATAATAGCAGATACAAAAGCAAACAAGGACTTAGAACAAATTAAAATATTATATACAAAAAGTTATCAAGTAATAGCATAGCAAACAGAACTAACAAGTAAAGACAAAAAGCTACTAGTAATTAAAAATAACTTTAAAAAATAATAAGTAAAAAAAAACAAGAAAAATCAGAAAACTGCAAAAACACAATTCAAAATATCAAAAAAATAACTAAGCAGTCTCTAGTTGTCTAAAAACAGAATATATAACAAGAGATTTTTTTTTAAAACAAAAATCTCATTCTTTAAAGTACTGAAAAAAACTAAAGAATACCAAATCAACTATATAAAATAAGTTTTTAGAAGAAACAAACATATCAAAACAATCAAAAAAGAATTTCAAAATGATAACAGTTAAATAATAGTAGATTTTAACTATAAGTATAGTAAAAAGATGTTAAGTAAACTTATTAAGAAAAAAGAAGAAGACTAGTGTAATCTTATCTCAAAAGAAGTTAAGCTTTCAGAAGGAAATTTAATTTTTATTCAAAAGAGAATAAAAAAGCAACAAAACCAAAATATAAAGAAAAATATTGAGGGGTCTTAAGTTCACAAAAAATTAAATTTAATTTACATCTTAAAAAAAAATAAAAACATTTAGATCTAGCAAAAAGAAAAAAGAGATGATAAAAATTACAAGATATATTACAATTTGGGATTTGCTAGCAAATGTTAAACATAAAGAAATAAAGTATATATATAAAAGTCTTGGCATATATATATAATAAAAATCAAAAGAATAAAATTTAAGATGCTTGCAATAATTAAGATTACAAGCAGTAACTATAATTACACTTCATGGTCACTACCATTAAATAATAATAATTTAGTCCAGATAACTCAAAAAGAAGAAAATTATAAACAAAGAAATAGACAAAGCCTTTTTACAACAAAACTACTAGAGATTCCCAAAGAAGTCTCAGAGGTGTTGCTTTTGCATAGTTTAAAAAGTAAAGGTGCAAAATCTGTATATATTTTAGTAAACAGAAATGATAACTCTAGAAGATTGCAATAATTATATTTGTAAGTCAGGAAGAGTTAGAAGCAACACAATAAAACCAATAAGATACAACAATTACACAGTTTTTTAAAAAGACTATAAAATAAAAAGAAAGGCAAAAGAGAAAACAAGAATAATTAACAAAGATTATATTGATGAAAAATAAGAAAATAATACTTATAGAATAAAATATAAATATGAAGAAAGAGAAAGAATGATAAAACAAAATAAAAAAAATAAAAAAGTTCAAAAAAGTAACAAGAAAACATTTACAGAAAGTTTGTTGTTTAGAATACTTAGCAGACTCAACAAGTTAGAAACACAAAAAAAAGGTAATAGTGTAGTAATAAGATAGAAATTAGCAAACTGCTTCTAATAGTTATTAAAGTAAATCTGAAGTTAACAGATATAAAGATAAGCTTTTTTTTACAAAGTCAAGTGATCAGAATAGAAATACCAAAAAAAACATTCTATATCTGAGAAAAAATATGAAAAAAATAATAATAGTAAAGAAAAAAAAACAAATAGATAAAGATAAGGTTTAGCTAGAGACTGAAAATATACAAAGTAGAATACATATAGGAAGAATATATGAAAATAGAAAAATTGAGCTTAAACTAGTAATATATAAACATTAATAGCCTCAAATCAAATAGTCAAAAAATAGAATTACTATATAAATAGATAATAGATAATAAACTTAATATTATAGAATTATCAAAAACAAATATTTTAGCTAAAGAGAAATTTTTTCTAACAAAAAATTTAGAAGATTTTGAACAAATGCATATCCAGACAAAAAGAAAGGTTTAGGTATAGGTTTTCTAATTAGTAATCAGTAGAAAAAACACTTAAAGCAGATAGACAAAATAAATAAGTATATAGTCTTAGCTAGTTTTATATTTAAGCAGCTAAAGATTATAGTTATAATAACTTACTTGTCACCAAATAATAAAGAAAAATAAAGATTAATTCAAAAAACAATTATAGATAAAGGAAGTGTCAAAAATTAGGTGATTTTTTAGAGAAGAGAGAGGTAAAAAAAATTATATATAAAAAATCTAACTATTTATATATTAAAAGAAGAGAGAGAGGTAGGTTTCCAATAAAAAATAATCAGATAATTAATAACACAACTCTAAGTATATTAAGAGACTTGAAAGAACACAAATAATAATTATAAGTAATTTTAACAGCATAGTAGATGTTAATTTAGATAGGCTGACAAAATCAAGAAAAAAACAACCAAAACCAAATGCATTGTTGAGATGACTCAAAAGACAAGAATTTAGAAATGCTTTTAAATTAATCAATTCAGAATCAAAAGAAGTTTCATGATCAGGTCAAGGTTCAGAATCAAGAATTGATTATATTTAGGTTACAAAAAAACTTACAAATAGTCTTTACAAAACAGAAATTTAGCAAATAGATAACTGTACAAATAGTAATTACAATTTAGTAATAGCAAAAATGAAATTAGATTATTTGATTATATTATACAGTATAGCAGAAATTAGAAAAAAAAGTTTCAAAAGAACAGTAATTATGTATGACAAAGCAATCAAAAAAGATTGAAATAACTATAAACAAAATCTTAATAAGCAACTAAAAAAAAAATTTGTATTCAAGATCTTAAGTGGTTTTTTCAAATAAATGAAGACATTAGAAATGAGAAAAACATAAATAAATAATAGAATGTAATTAGCAATAACATTATTACAATAGTATATAAATGCCTTATAAAAAAGAAAATACCAAATACAGCATCTAACAAAAAAAAAAAAACAAAAGAAATGCAGTTGGAAAAGATATTTATCTAGTTAGAAAAATAGATAAATATTGAAAAAAAAACATTAAACTGAGTTATCTAGAAGACTATATAGAAGACCTAAATAAAAAAAATCATCTTTATTAAGTAACAATATAGAATATATATAAATCTAACACAAGTAACTTGGTTTTGTAAA